CTATATAACCCTTAACCTTAACCGCATCAAAAAGGTAACTCTAAACCTCGCTCCGCTTTAACCGACCCGCAAATAAGGAAATGATGATCCATCATGCATGTTCTGATTATTCTGTTATAAAATTATTTCATAATAAGGTATAACTCCTTTTTATTTTATTTGCAGAAACTTCAGCCATGTTACCATGTTACCATGTTAGCCAAAAAACCGTAGGTTATTTACCTTTTCCCGTTCTCCATTTTATTTTAATAAAAAAAAATGGCGTCAAGTTCAAGTGGTGAACAAAAATCTAAAAGGCAAATATCTATTACATATTGCATGTTAAAAGCTGTGTTTATACTTATTTTTTTATTTTATTTTTTTTTAGCAAGGAGTAACAAGACAGATTCAAGCGTTCAACAAACAAATATACGATCGGCTCAAGTATATTGGTTTTGAATTTGAAAATCCTGGCAAAAACATTTAAACGGATAAAAATTTCTAACGGTTGCAATCTGGTAGCTTGGTGCAGATTCAAAAAGAAATACTCACTTGGAATCAGTGAAAAGGTGAACATCTATTACGTATTGCATGTTAAAAGTTGCGTTTGTATTTATTTTTTTATTTTTATTTTTTTAGCAAGAAGTAACAAGACCGATTCAAGCGTTCAACAAATTTATAGGCGTGCGATTTAAATTTTGTTTATCAGTTATTGTCGAATACGAAAATATGAAAAAATGAAGATTGCTCGAGCCGTGATTCCAGAAGAAATTTTGTTAGAAAAAGACGGAAATCTTGTCATAAACAAATATACGATCGGTTCAAGTATATTGGTTTGAATTTGAAAATCCTGGCAAAAACATTCAGACGGATAAAAATTTTGAACGGTCGCAATCTTGTTTGGAACCGATTCAGAGGGAAATATTCCATTGGAATAAGTGAAGTGGAACGTCTTGCTGGTTATATATCCAGACAGCAGAAGCAATGCATTGGTTTCTTAGTCACGACGATTGGTTATACCGAAGAAGCAAAAAATGAAGCCTTCAAAAGTAAAGTTTCACTTTGTTTCAGAGATAATATTTTGCAAAGAATTAGATACAGAGTGGTTCATGAAACAATCAAAGAACTTAAACGTAAAACGGATAATAAATCAAATGATAGATAGGCGCATTTATTGTATATGCCAAGTTCTTGTGTTTTTAATCCGAATGTAAGGGTTTTTTTTTTAAAATTTTATAAAATCATGTCTGAATTAATAATAAATATTTAGATAGGCATGTTTATTGTTTAGAGTGTTTGATCTGAATTATTTTCGTAAAATCATGTCTTGAACTAATAATAAAATATTTAGATAGGCGTGTTTTATTGTATATGAAAAAAAATAGTGTTTTTAATTCGAATGTAGGGAGTTTTTTTAATTTTTCTTTTAAATTTCATAAAATCATGTCCACAACCATTTTACCGACAACCGTTTCGCTGGGGTGTTCGATTCAGGATATCAGTAGGTCGACCAAAATTTAAGGTCAGAATATGCTGGAATTGATAAATTTCTCCCAAAATCTCCCAAAATTTTATTAATGAAATGGTAGCCCATGTACTAAGTAAAGCTGCCCAGATGATAATTTTGCTATAGTATAGTTGGCATGTATTATCTCTTAATGCCAGCCTAGCCCCGGGCCTACTTCGGCCCTAAATTTTGGTCGATCTGCTGAACTTTGGTTGCTCTACTAATCTATTCTTCGATGCACTGTGTAAATCAAGTTTATTATGTAGTCCTACGTATCGCGTACGTATGTGAAAATAAATTAGTAAATATTTTTCATGTAACATATGTAACATTCATAATAAACTACTGCGGCAATAATATAGTTTCGATACACTTCAATCTTTTTATTATTTTTGGGTTTAAAATATGCTATCCACTAAACTCTCACGCGAAATTTCTAAATAGATTAATATATAGAATATTGAGAAAATATATGCAATTTTTCACGAAGAATTGCAAACTTCAAATTGTATCTCCTTGATATTCTACATATTAATCTATTTAGAAATTTCACGCGAAAGCATAATGGATAACAAAATTTAATGAAATAGAGAGCTTTTTTTCATAACCTGAAAAATAATGAATTATTACATTCACGTTAATAATAAAAATACTGCG